AGCATCTTCATGATTAAGTTTAACTTCAAGATCAATTGGCATATTTTTAATACTTTTCATTTCTTTATTATCTGGATTAATCTTTTCTCCTTCTGATGGAGTAACTGGTGTTTCAACTTGAACATCAATATGATGTTTTCCTGGTTCTTTAGCAACATATTCAACATCATAGGTACCATCTTCATTATCTTTAACAGTAACTTCAGCAGCAATAGTTGGTCCTTGAACTGTAACATTGAATTTTTGTCCTCCTTTCTTAAGTTGTTCACCTGCTCTATTTCTTGTAACAATCTTAAATGGTGCTGGTGTTTTTGTTTCTGCATTTTCTAATCCTTCTCCTTCAGCAGTACAATTAAGAGCATCAGGAATTTCATCAAAGACAAGTACATCAACTGGAGTATTTTCTACTGGTTCATCATTAACAACAACTTCAATTTTGTGCATTCCTGGAACAACTGGAGTATAACCAACATCATAAGTTCCATCACCATTATCTTTGACTTCACATGGAACTTCATTTCCTTGTGGGTCAATTACTTTAACTTTTACATCATCTCCACCATGTCCAAGATCTTTACCATTATTATCTTTACCAGTGATTTTAAAGTCTGCTGGAATATTAACTTCTCCTGTTTTAAGTCCATCTCCATCAACCAAGGAAGTTGATCCTCTCATCTTCTTTGGTTTAAACTTAACGGAAACATCAAGGTCATGTTTTTCAAGAAAAGCTTTTAATTGAAGAACTAATGGTTCAACATCAGCCTCTGATTCAATATTGAAATTAGGTGGTTCGTCTGGATTAACTTGTGGTTCTTCTGGGTTGATTTGTGGTTGTACTTGTTCTTCAGTCATGAGTTTTGAAATATAAGTTCAGATTATAATCTCTTAAATCATCAATCTTAAGACTCCTTTTCGTTTAAGCTTGAAAATATATTTTTAGCTTCTTTGTTTTTCACGTTAAATAATTTTAAGTTCTTTAGTAATTTTAAGTTTTACCTTGTGGTCGTGTCAAATTCGTATATGATTTTGAAAGTATCCAGTTCTTTTTTGTTTTCATGAAAAGGAAATCTTAGAGAAAGAAAGCAAGAAAAGAAAGATAAATTAAGAAAGTTAAGATAGAAGGAAAAATATGAATGGTATTTTAAGTGAATAAAAAAGAAAAGCCATTAATATAAATAATTAATAATTAATCTTAAAAAAAAATTGAAGAAAAACAAAATCAACAATTAATTACTGAGAGATGAAAAATGAAGGATTGGAATAGTATCAAATGAAACAAATGGTTGAATCATTGTTGGAGTTTTGATAAATATGT